GACGAAGAGGACTAAATCTATTTGTTAGTTTTATGTTCCTAATTAATAGGGCTATATCATTACCGACCGCAACCAAAAACTACCTGCGTTAGTGCCACTACCGCCCGCGCAGGGTTTACAATCTATTTTCAACTGTTTGCGTGTAAAATTTGAAATAAGTTTTTTTACCAGTTTAAATAACCTCATATAAGTTTGTTTCTTCCTGTCTGGCAACAAAGTATACAATACTGGTCGAGTACATGTGACTTCTTCGGTGCTTCTTAAATCCACATGAAAAGTATACAATTGATTAAATAAAGAATTGCAACTTTTAAATGTACCATCCCAAAAAATAGTGCTGCTTGATGCTAACGTATTAATGCCCATTTTACTTGCAAATCCAATAATTCTGTCAGTAGCACTATCATCAAATACTAGGAATTCTTCATTTATGTGACTAGGAATCACAAGATCTTCACGCGTTTTTGGTAGTTGTGGTATTCCCAAAGATTTATTTCGTTGTCGGTATAAGGATGATTTTATACTTTCATACTGTGGCATTTTTGTCACGAACTCTAAGCCTTTGTCTTTTGCTTCCTTAAACCCTTCTTGATATATTTTTGGTATTGGTGTCATTTCTTCCGCAGCACGTTTTCTGCATATTGCAATGCATTTTTCAGTGTCTGTGTATGCCTCATTATGAGCTTTTAGACAGTTGTATGTAAATGTCTTTATTATTTCATTTTCTTGATTTCTTGTGATTCGTCCACTGCAATCTCCGTTTATACATTTCTAGTTCTTAATCTGGTTTTTGTTGGTCCTTTTTAAAAAATACTTGAATCCTCCACTAATAATTTGCACATTACCTTTGGCACTTTTCAAAAATTCTGCCTTATCCATGATTGCTATTCAAGGATGCAGTTGAAACTAAATGCTTCATTTACTTTTACGTCCTTAAGTACTAATCGTTGAGTAATATTATTGGCTAAAAGACCAATTGTGGGTGGAGCTTTCAATTGAAGTACCTAGTATTAGGATGATTGATTTCTAGATGTATCTGTGACGCCTATGATTATTAAGTATTGAAAGTTATTTTTTATTGCAAATGAGGATGAGTGATTTCCGGTCAGCAAGTACGTAGTAGATATATGGTAATCCGCACTTAATATCTGAACCAGATACTTATGAATGTTTTGATGTCATTAGTCAATTCATAACACATATTATTTATGATTTTTAATCTTCGTATTTATTAATTTATTTTTAATTTTATTTACGAAAATAATCGGGTCAATTGATTTTATATAATATATATATAATAAATTAAATAATAATAATAATAATTAAATAAAATAAGAATTCAATGTATAATATTACGGGGAGCGTTTAATATAGTTTCTAACTGAAAGCGAAATAAAAATATTCCTTATCAATAATTATTAAAATGTAAATTACTAAAACAAAATCAGTTCTTTTCAAAACTATAACATATTTATTATGTGATAGAATCTCGTGGTCGGTAGTCGGATATACAAAAAATAAGTAAACCCTACGCGGGCGGTAGTGGCACTCGAGCAGGTAGTTTTTGGTCGCGGTCGGTAATGGGACGCTCTGTAATGGCACTACACCAATTAATAGTATTATATCTAATTATTGTTTATAATTTTTAGGCTTTAGCTACGCAGATGTACCTGAAAACTGTAATTAATATTGTAATATATCGTATTCGATAAATAAATACGTATAACCAAGATGTCCTTATCTTTTTATGCTAAACTATTACTAAGGTAAAATGTGCACGTAACAAATATAGAAAAAGGAAAAAGAAAAACAGATACTAGAAAAGGTAAAAAGTGTTAGCTGTAAATATACATTATTAAATGTCTAAAAAATTGTCAAGAAGTTTTGGACCCAAGATCGGTTGCAGTTTTTTGCTCATAAAATTAAAAATAGTGGTTTTAGATTTTTCCCGCTCTAGAAGTGCCTGGAGGGGGTACTATGCGCATGGCAATTCGGCACTTAGCTGGCTTAAAATGCTTAGCCATATCGGGTAGATGTTAGTTTTATTCTTACATGTGAACTATAGCGTACACTAACCTAACTACACTAACGACGTGACCAATTACGTTCGAAAATTTTTGTGTTTTGTATATTTTTGCATGGTAAAGTTTATGATTTTGGTATGTTTGGCTTAAATTTTGTTTATGTGTTACTGTTATTTTATCTCTATTTTATTTTTAGACCTAATAATAACCGAAACCTCCACAAGAAACATGAAGAAAAGTTAATGAAATGGTTTTAAGAAATTTCTTCTTATACAGAAAAATCGGACACGCTCAAAAGAAAAACACGTGCTAATAACCTGGAGTAAAAGACGTTGCTAAGGGAGATAAAAGAGCGTTAAATTGCTGGAAATTATTTTTTCCTGATGAAATGATTGAGCAAATTATTATTATCACTTACCAGAAATTGGAGCAGTTTAGGGAATCGTATTCGCCTCCTAGAGATTGCCCACCAATTGATTTCTACGAAATGTGCGCATACAGTCAAAAAAGGACAGCACTTGAATACATCAGAATTGTGGAGTACCGATGGTAGGGCACCAAAAATACTTTGCAGCTGTGATGTCGGAGCGCAGATTTCATGTCAAAAAAATTAAAATATACTGATGCTTTCGACTAAACATAATGATGATGATGCAATATATGCGTCTATCAAAGAAGCCTATAAACATAAAATTATAACCTTTTATAATTCCACAATGGGTGGATTTGACGTAGCAGATCGATTTAAATCTGAAAATTCCATAGCAAGAGTCAGCAATCGTTGGCGACTAACAGTGTTTTGTTCATTTATAAATATTGGTACAATAAATGTCCAGATAATTCAGAAATGTGTTACCAATGAGACAATTGCAAGAAGAATATTTATATCGAATCTGCCAAATCAGCTTACACTGGCTCATCTTCACAGGCGTTCTTCTATCTTCAACTTGTCAATTCCACTTTGCCAAAAAATAACCAATATTATTGGTAAAAAACAAACTCCAACAGCCGCACCTTTGCAAAACCAGCAACTTCTTACAAAAAGTTAGATGTAAATACTGCCCAGTTAAAAAAAACTTGTTTACACAACATCAATGTATAACTTGTGCTATCCAAATTTTTAAGGAATACACACAAAATATCACATATATTTGTTTTGAATGTGATAATTGCAGTGAAGAATCTTTATAACTCAACATTTTTTGTTAAATAAATATAAATAATAAAGCACGATTGTGTTATTTTATATCAAAAATACAAAGAGTTAAATTACATTTATTAAATTAAAAGTTTAAACACTGATTCTGATTTATTTTTTAACGTTAGATGAAATCTAACACGCGATCGGTCAACTGATCAATTGAAATAAAATAACTAGGTCACTCCTATTTCATCAGTGACACAGTCATCACGATTATCTCATCGACTTATGACAGAGGTGCAAGAAATACTCAAATAATATCACTTTAAGGCTGCGCTTACCCCATGGGTAAGGCCATATAAGCTTTTGTTAGTCTCATATACGAGTTTACTGATAACTACCAAACTAAAGAAATGAAAAAACATACAAAAAACTAGATATACAAAAAAAAAATAGATGTAAAATCACAAAAAAATTAACAAGCAACAAATTTCGTAGATACACATACCTTGACTCCCCAGAAAGTTATTTCTAAAACGAATAGTCTAGATCCCAATAAAAGTGCTGGTTCTGACGCCATCCCTTCTATTTTGTTGAGAAAATGCTGTGAAGAGTTGTCTATTTCCCTTAGTCTAATATTCTAGAAGTCTTTTGTTCAGGGAACATTTCAAGATGTGTGGAAATGTTGCAATCTAATTCCAATTTTAAAGTCTGGTGATAAATCTAAATTAATAAACTATAAGGGAATATCTTATATTCACCATTCCTAAATTATATAAATCAATTCCTACTGATGAAATAGCTGCTTCTTTCGAATCTTATATCTCTCCCTTCTAGCCTGGATTTTATCGGGTTCGTTCTACTACTACTAAAATATGTTGTTTTCTTATGACCTTAGTGGAAGCTGATCGCCAGGTCTACATCAATCTATCTACATCTAAAGAGTCTACATCAATCTGTCGAAGGCTTTTGACAGTGTTGCTCATCAACTGCTTTAAAAAAACTCTCTCTGAAATAGGTTTTGTCGCAATCTCAATTGGATAAAATTATGTCTAACTAATAGTATCTAACAAGTTTTAATTCATAATATTACATATTAAAAAGTATCAGTTTTATAAGACATTTTGCAAGGCTTGTTGGAGTACCTGTTTTGTTGGGAATGGGATGTTAATACACTGCGACCTAAAAGATCTATTGCTTAGGCAGCAAGAAAATGTCTCGATGCCTTCCAATCCTATCTTCTCAAGGAAGTATAGGATTTGGAGTATTTTCAAGTTAGGTCAATCTCGCTCTTCTATTTAATATGCTCCTAGGTATAGTTACCTTGGATTTTGGAGTGCTTCACATTCAGTCAGAATGTCACTAGTAGTTCCATCCTCCTCTTCCTCACCGCATCTGCATTCACTATCTGCTACTACTCTCAGTTTACTAAGATCTCCTTTGAGTCTGCAATGCCCAGTTAGGATCCCTGGTACAAGGCGTAGCCTGTTTTTACACATACATATACATGGTTCTCATTTTCATTTTATACACCCAGAAATATATTAGCATGTCTTAGCCACAAGAGATTGCTGTTCCAATTATCGGTTCTTTTACTGATCAATTATTTGTTAATCTCTTCTATTGTTTTACTGCTGATACCGCAGATCGGCACATGTTCCACAAAGGGTGTTTGAATCCCTTTCCGTGCGATACTATTTGCAATCTCGTTACCCTTTACCCCGTTATGTCTCGGAACCCAAGTTGTAGTAACTGTATTTTCCTAGCTACTGGAGTCAGTAATTCAAATTTTATTTTTCCTGTCACCCAAAGTGAGTAAAAATCTCAATGAAATCATAGTTTTAGATTACTCTTTATTTAATATTTACTGTCAATATTTACATTTCATGTGTTGGACCTTGCCAAGAACTTGTATTGCCGTTCAATATGTTTCAGCCTCCAAAATTGGAAGTCGAACATCGGAATACCTCAGCCTCTCTACCTTCGGACCTTCGCACAAGGTATATATTGTCTCTTTTCTAGTTAGTCGTCTCGTGCCCTTTGGAGATTTTATGTAGGTTTGACCTTCAGGATATTTTATTAGTCCGCATTCAAGTAAGTACGGCGGTGGTTTTATATAGGGCCTGGCCGCTATGAAGTTTGCGTACTTTTTAGTTATCACCAGGTCTTCTATTTCTGAAAACAAATTAAATAAAATACGTGTAGAAGATGGCAGTAAAAAGACTATTTCGCAAGAAGACTTCATTTGGTTTATTAGAAGTACCCATGTAGGTACGTACAAACAAAGAACGTGAGTTTATGATTGGAGCTCAAGATGAAATAAGCCACAAAATAGCATAGTATTTTCATTGCATCGAAACAGAATTTAAAGTAACTGGACTACTAAGAAGATTGTAGTTAACGATGGATTTTTTCTACCAAAATTGGAAAACAAATATATAACGATCAAGTCTTAAAGAAGATATGACACTGGAACGATGACAAATGTCGATCTACTTGGTAAGAAGTATAAGAACTCTATAGGAGTAAAGCGGAACTCTTGTATCATGGAAGATAATTTATTTAAGCGAGTACTCAAAAATGAAGATATTTCTGAAAATAAAAGAGAGTTGGTCATTCTAAAGACAAGGGTAACCAAAGTACTTAGTCAGTTACACGGCAGTCCATCAGGAGGACATCTTGGTGTTAAAAAACCCTTTCAAAGAATACATAAAAGGTTCTATTGGATTAACAGTTCCGAAGATGTAAAGGATTGGTGCTATGACTAATTAATCTCATCGAAAAGGGAAGACTTTAACATTAAGACTGGCAATACAAATATCTTTACCTGAAAAAACCGACTCCATGGTCTCTATTTTAAGTGGTATTTTTGACTTTAACCATTTTTTGTAGCTGTCATTAATTGACGTTCCTTTATATAGAGAATGCGGAAGACTTTTCATAAAGGCAACATTTTTTTCACCCGCAAATTCATAAGCTTTCCTAAAAAAATATATAGTTTTTAAAAACGTTGTCATTTGGGCACAATGCCTCATCGCATACATAAAACATCGAATTAAGAATTGTGTTATGGATTATTAGAACATGCACCCTTTTGGCTAGATTAATTTCTCTTTGATTATTTCTTGTTTCCATATCTAAAGGAGTGGTTCAATTATTCCCAAAACCCTCGAATGAAGCCTCTTTTTTACTATTAGAATAAAACATGCGATGGAGTCGTTGTATACAAGAATCTGAACTTTATTCTGGCAAGTGACAGTTAAGACAAAATGACAGGAACGATCGTAATTAGCACAATCGTAATAAGCAAATTAAATCGTAACAAACTCAAAAATAAATTTTGTAACTATCTAGGTTTCTAAGGTTATGATCCGTAAAATAACAAAGAAGTAACTTTGTTATTATGTATAAATCATAACCCTAGAACCCACACATAACCCTAGAACCCACACATAACCCTACAACCCTATTTACATTATTTAGTTTTGATTAAACTGTTATGCTTCGGTTGACTGGAACCAATTAGGCATTCCAAACAAATGAATTACCAGTGGGCAGGTTTGGTATATCTAAGGGTGGCGACACATGGTGTATTCTATCTACTTTACGTAAAATCATGAATAATGGATTACATTTAAATATTTTATGTCAAACACAATAAAAATAATATTTAAAAAACCCACCTATACATTTCTTCATAAATTGGCAGGCTTGGCGAGTACTACTTCGAATAAAAATAGCGTCCAAGTTGCAAGACTATGTCGCTACCCCCTTAAATACACAAGAATTTCCCACTGGCACATATTGTTTGACAGGTCGTTGGAATGCCTAATACAGCGTTTTTCTGTCATTTCGTCGCAACTGTGACTTGTCAATTTCTGAGTCTGTCATGTGTCTACTACTATGGACGCGATGGTGGTGATTACCGAAAACAACCCCAATTTTTTATTGAAAATTCTACTTTATTAAACATTTTAGTTTAGATTATTTTAAGCAATTTTAAGCGAACTGCCAAATATTCTTGGTATTTCTTATAAAATTTCTTGGTTATTGCGTGAATATATGGAAGAGGTTAGTATACTGACATCGCAAGTGGCAATCACTTAAACGAAGTGATAATAACCGTGGTTGTAAGTTTGTTTATTTTCAAATGTCAATTCAATTTCAACTATCTTTTTCGCCGTGTTTATGAATTAACGTGTGTCTTTTTTCCATCGGTTTGTTGAAATCGCTGTTTTACCGACGCAACCTTGAACGCTTTAGGCGATTGTAAATCAGATACTATGTCTTGAATATGATTGACTACACTGATATAAATCAAAAACAATGACGTCATATTGAATATTGTCTTGAAATAGTCAAGTTTAACATGACTACAGTAAAAACGTGTTCATCACAGGTATAAAATGTCAAATGAAATGACAAATGTAAAACTTTTACTTTTTAATTATTAAATCATTGTTTGGTTGTGTTATTTGTAAAATAGAAAGAAAGATTTATGAAAGGGAAAAGTGGGACAATGGTGACGATAGGGTATCAGGTTAAAAAACAGGTATTTTTATAAAATAAGCTCCTTTTTTTGTAGAGATCTAAAAAAAGGTCCTCCGCTTATATTTATTTAAACCATCAGATTCCTTTATCTGAGCTTCTCAAAAACAGGTCAATTGTCAAAAATATCATTGTATGTAACTTTAAATTTAAAAAACGTAGCAATAAGGTGAAATGCGGAGCATTTTTGTACTTTGGCGTAACGCGTGCCAGCAAGTTAAAAAGTGGGACAATTACGCCTAAAGCGCGACGTCTGGCAACCCTGGATGAGTACCTAGATATGGACGCATTTAAGGTTTCTGCAAATGAAAAGCCAATTTATTTTCAAGGTAGGATTTATTAATGAACATGGCTAAAGTTTTGATAAAATTTCAGAGGCCAAAGTAACTATAATACCAATTTTCTCTTCATCCATGATCAGTAAACAAAACAAATATTTATTTTTTATCCCTACAAATTCAAAAACAAATCCTACTACTATTACATAACACACAAATAAAAATTCATGATATCTGCCAATGTTATACCCATTGTCAAGTTAGTGTCAATATAAACCAAACATTTTTAAATCAGATTATTAGAACGTCATTATAATGACGTAAGAACCTTGACCACACTTGACTTGGTCACATTTCTAGTAATTGATTTAAAATCGCCTTTTGTGTTGGATTTGATTTATTTATGATTGATCGTTGAAATAAATAATATTTGACATTATGGATTAAAATTTGTGTTTATAATTGTATTTAAATGTACCTATATACCTTAATTTAAAAGTATGTATGTTTAAAAGCCGATTTTCTCAGGTTTTCATACAATAGAACAATTAAATAATTAACTCCTTAATTCTGCTTAATTCTGTTTAATCCCGGCAATCCAGCTATGAGTTGCCACATCTAATCAGGAAAACCATACATTGAAACTGATGGATTGGTGTTGCATCAAGTGCAGAAACGTTGGATAAAAAGACAGCGCTGTTAGTTTATCATTGATAGATTGATGAAAAAAAGGACAGGTAGATACCGCACCGGTGCCGACGTTTCTGCAACAGTTGGATAAAAAGACAAAAACTTTTAATGTTTAGATTTTCATTTAAACCACATTGTTTATTGTCCTGAAAGAAAAAAGAAGATCCAAAGCAGAAATTGGTCTAGGAAGTTTTTTCCTATGCAATTTTTACTCATCCAATAATCATCTGCCATTTTTTAATATGATTTTAATGTTTAATCAGGTTTAATATACCTTATTTGTATAGTACTAGTCGGTACAAAATACTCACTACAGTTGTTACTGTCAAATACCTATAACCAATAATTAAAAACAGCTACGGTAAGTAAGCAGGTAAATACCGCAAAAGTTTGGTTATAAATTTGATGCAAAACAGCTGGTTTATGACGTCACGGATATATAAGCAACTTAATAACCGAAGTCAATTAAATGTTGTAGTAATTACCAATCTCAAATGGTAAATTATAAATGCTTTTGGTTATTTGCTTAAAATTGACTTTTATTGTAAATCTTCTGTCAGCTTTTAAAATAGCCGTTATGTTGGATAATGCTATTTTTAAATTTGTTACTAATAATACGATTAAGGAAGAATATGTGGAAAACTATTACCTCTAAAAATTCTTTTTGAACTTTGTATTTCCCATTGAGTCTAACTCTAATTACAGTAGCATATCTAAACATTTCTTATTGATAACCTCTTAAAATTCCATTTGCTCTTATCATAGACAATGTTTGAGATATCGAATTGATTTTTTTTGCATGAAAGCTTCAAACAAGGTATTTCTTATCACGGAGTATTTAATTAGGTGATGTCGTGGCTTAACATAGAGTTCACCATAAAAATGCCCAAGGTAGGTGGAGTTTTAATATGCAGAGCGGTATCCTGGATAACACGATTATTGGTCCCTTTTTTTAATATGGTAATTTAACGAGGAAAAAGTTATGCAAACGAGATTCTTAATGGAGTTATAGGCCCTCTTTATTTACACCCTAGCAGCGCTACTAAAAACGCAAAATAATGAAATAATTTTCTTGTTGTTTGAGAGCCTGAAACAAAAACTTTTTTATGACGGATTCAATTTGTCTGTGACTTTGATTTTATACGAAAATAACTACTGTTAATCGCAATAAACTTTTAACTGGCAATCCGCATTTTTACTTTCCTGTCTATATACAGATCAGGAAAGTATAGGGATAATGATTTTTATTTCGTACGAATCGTGTATTCAGAATTTGGAATTAAAAATAAAAATTGTGAGGGTGTGTTCCGTCCTGCTGAAACCAAATTAAGTTTCTTTGTGGCGCTGGTATAGTGTAAAGTAATGAGGCCTACAGCGTACCTCGTCTCCAGAACGGAATGCGGAACTACATCGTCCACGAGAAGCGCTAGATGCACTTATTACGAAACTACCTTTATTTGACATTCGGAACAAGACCTGAATGACATCTAATACACGAATATTTATGTTAAACGTTCTGTACACTGACTTTTACGTCAAAATAAACCGCTTATTTGTCAGATATTTTAAAACAATAAAAATAATTCATTTAAATAAGGAGGAAATATAGTCGTTTGATAAATAGATCAAGAGAAAGTTGTCAACAAATTAGGCATTCCAATAACCTGCCAAACTGACATTTAGATATGGCAATCCTGTGAGCCTGATGTCATTGATATGGTCAATGATACATATATAGTTATATAAATTGCTCAAAGCAGGTCGTTTACGAGCGGCCATATTGCCTCGCAAGTACCCATTAATCAGAATCGATTTTAAAAAATGTGTTTACAAACCAATATATAGCCTTTGACTATAGTAAAACAAAATAATTATCTACATTTTTACTTTAAGGCATAAGCTTATGTTTATTTTGAAAAATATGAATAATCAATATATGTAACTATCTATTTCATTGAACTTGTCAATTCACCATGCCTACAGGGTTGCCATAATTTTGCCATATCATAACCTGTCAAACCCCACTGGTAGCCATTTTGTTTGGAATGCCCTAATAGGTAGTTTTGCTAATGTAACCAGCTCTAAGAATGTTATCTTTTTTCTTTGACATTAGAATGACAATCAATGGACTGAACATTTTCAATAAAATATTATTCAAAACTTTTCAATAAAAAGTAACGGTTTTCAATTAAAAATAAACATTAAATTGCGATTTATATTATTTCGAAAAAAACCGAAAATACACATATCAGTTATAATAAAGTTTTTACTTTTTATTTATAAACAAAAAAATATTATTCCGAAATCTTAATTATTAACAAAGAGGAATTAGATTTTTTAGGTGATCCATCTTGTATACCTACCAATCTTTACTTCACGTATCTCTGGTAAAAAATCATAACTTAATATATGTCATTCTACAGAAATTGAGTTGTCAGCATTATTATGTTCATCTCCATGATATTT